GAGCAGAGAGTAATGTCTCCTGTGTATGAGAAGCTTGAGAGGGGCAGAGAGTTATGTCTCCTGTGTATGAGAAGTTTGAGAGGAGCAGAGAGTAATGTCTCCTGTGTATGAGAAGCTTGAGAGGGGCAGAGAGTTATGTCTCCTGTGTATGAGAAGTTTGAGAGGAGCAGAGAGTAATAACTGTCTCCTGTGTAAGAGAATCTTGACAGGGGCAGAGAGTATTGTCTCCTGTGTATGAGAAGCTTGAGAGGAGCAGAGAGTATTGTCTCCTGTGTATGAGAAGCTTGACAGGGGCAGAGAGTAATGTCTCCTGTGTATGAGAAGTTTGAGAGGAGCAGAGAGTAATAACTGTCTCTTGTGTATGAGAAGCTTGAGAGGGGCAGAGAGTAATAACTGTCTCCTGTGTATGAGAAGCTTGAGATGGGCAGAGAGTAATAACTGTCTCCTGTGTATGAGAAGCTTGGGAGGGGCAGATTGTCCGGTGTAACCTATTTACCTATTCAAACTGTTTGGGCCAGAATTCTACTACACATCAGACCCATGAGTTCCTTAGCTCATGGAAATGTTCAATGTGTTAAACTTCTGCAACATGTTCAGTTAAACTTCTGCAACATGTTAAGTTAAACTTCTGCAACATGTTAAGTTAAACTTCTGCAACATGTTTAGTTAAACTTCTGCAACATGTTCAGTTAAACTTCTGCAACATGTTAAGTTAAACTACTGCAACATGTTCAGTTAAACAACTTCTGCAACATGTTCAGTTAAACTTCTGCAAAATGTGAAGTTTTTTAACTTTAGACTTTTACAGACGAGGACAATGTCCCTGTCTCAGAAATTGCAGACATCTTTCTACTAAAGTTGGAGATTTTGTGCGATGGCAAAATTTTTACAGCTAAATTTAAATAACTAATGTAAAAAAATGATTGCAACTTGTTTATGTGAAAAGACATGAAATGATTTGTGAGCTGAAAACTGAACTTGTAAATTTGTGAATTTCCTTTACTTGTTTTAATTGTGAAATGTCCTTGCCAGCAATTATCTGCGTCATCTGTGACAATCACTGGTTACATTTAGATTCTAAGAAATCACATATTTCAAATTACCACTTCCAGACCCTGAAGCCCTCAGTGAAAATCTGGGGAACATCCATGATGAGCCATTCCGCCACATATGCAGTCCACTATTTCCAGGGAGGCCATATTCTGTCACTGGATCTGCTAAAGCAGACCGCACTTACCACCACAAACAGTTATGTATTTGTAACTGTTGTGAATATACTGCCAACAATATCACAATATGAGACCTTCACCCATTTCTTGTCAACACAGGTTTCAAAAGCATAAGTTGGAAAAAAACAAAAAAAAAAAACAAAGAGGTGTACATAAACTGGTACCCTCATGTCTGATTACACATTCTGGTTTAGTGCAAGTCTGCGAGTAGATATTTTGTACACAAAACATGTTGCTCCTCCTGTCTTAACAGATTACACTCTGGTGTGCTAAATACTTTCTGGCAATGGACACAGACCGAACTGCTGAAGCCTGGCCACTAGAGGTATCACCCAATCAGAAACATTGTTTTCTGGCCTCTGTGGGGCCAATGGAAGTCATCGAGTGGTTGAGGCCATACAAGACTTGAGTGTGGTGGGCAGGAAGAGAAGCAGGCTTGATGGCCAGCTGGACACGTAGAGTTCTACTCCAGCGTGTACATCCTCAGGATAGAAGATTGAAAAACATGGTTGCTAAACTCAGATTGAGTGCAATGACTAAAACAAGAAGTTGTCTTTCCTGACACCAGTCCTGAAATAGATCAAAGATAGCATTAGTGACACATAAGTAAAGGGATGAGACAACATCAATGACACAACTATAAGTAAAGGAATGAGACAACATCAGTGACACAACTATAAGTTAAGGAATGAGACAACATCAGTGACACAACTATAAGTAAAGGAATGAGACAACATCAGTGACACAACTATAAGTAAAGGAATGAGTCAACATTAGTGACCCAACTATAAGTAAAGGAATGAGACAACATCAATGACACAACTATAAGTAAAGGAATGAGACAACATCAGTGACACAACTATAAGTAAAGGAATGAGACAACATCAGTGACACAGTTATAAGTAAAGGAATGAGACAACATCAGTGACACAACTATAAGTAAAGGAATGAGACAACATCAGTGACACAACTATAAGTAAAGGAATGAGGCGACATCAGTGACACAACTATGAGTAAAGAGATGAGACAACATCAGTGACACAACTATAAGTAAAGGAATGAGACAACATCAGTGACACAACTATAAGTAAAGGAATGAGACAACATCAATGACACAACTATCAGTAAAGGAATGAGACAACATCAGTGACACAACTATAAGTAAAGGAATGAGACAACATCAGTGACACAACTATAAGTAAAGGAATGAGACAACATCAGTGACACAACTATGAGTAAAGAGATGAGACAACATCAGTGACACAGTTATAAGTGAAGGAATGAGACAACATCAGTGACACAACTATAAGTAAAGGAATGAGACAACATCAGTGACACAACTATAAGTAAAGGAATGAGGCAACATCAGTGACACAGTTATAAGTAAAGGAATGAGACAACATCAGTGACACAGTTATAAGTGAAGGAATGAGACAACATCAGTGACACAACTATAAGTAAAGGGATGAGACAACATCAGTGACACAACTATAAGTAAAGGAATGAGACAACATCAGTGACACAACTATAAGTAAAGGAATGAGACAACATCAGTGACACAACTATAAGTAAAGAGATGAGACAACATCAGTGACACAACTATAAGTAAAGGAATGAGATAACATCAATGACACAACTATAAGTAAAGAGATGAGACAACATCAGTGACACAACTATAAGTAAAGGAATGAGACAACATCAGTGACACAACTATGAGTAAAGAGATGAGACAACATCAGTGACACAACTATAAGTAAAGGAATGAGACAACATCAGTGACACAACTATAAGTGAAGGAATGAGACAACATCAGTGACACAACTATAAGTAAAGGAATGAGACAACATCAGTGACACAACTATAAGTAAAGGAATGAGGCAACATCAGTGACACAACTATAAGTAAAGGAATGAGATGACATCAGTGACACAACTATCAGTAAAGGAATGAGACAACATCAGTGACACAGTTATAAGTAAAGGAATGAGACAACATCAGTGACACAACTATAAGTAAAGAGATGAGACAACATCAGTGACACAACTATAAGTGAAGGAATGAGGCAACATCAGTGACACAACTATAAGTAAAGGAATGAGATGACATCAGTGACACAACTATAAGTAAAGGAATGAGACAACATCAATGACACAACTATAAGTAAAGGAATGAGACGACATCAGTGACACAACTATAAGTAAAGGAATGAGACAACATCAGTGACACAACTATAAGTAAAGGAATGAGACAACATCAGTGACACAGTTATAAGTAAAGGAATGAGACAACATCAGTGACACAACTATAAGTGAAGGAATGAGACAACATCAGTGACACAGTTATAAGTAAAGGGATGAGACAACAACAGTGACACAACTATAAGTAAAGGAATGAGACAACATCAGTGACACAGTTATAAGTAAAGGAATGAATAAATGAATGAACGAACTTTATTTTCACAAAACATCAGTGACAGAGTTATAACATAAGTAAAGGAATGAGACAACAACAGTGACACAGTTATAGTGAAAGGATGAGTCACCATCAGTTTTAACATAAAAAATGGGTTAGTCAACAATACTGACACTACAACATAAATAAAGGGGTTAGTCAACATTTGTGACACAATTATATACCATTAGTGACAGAATTATAACATAAATAAAGGGGGTTTAGTCAATATCAGTGACATAATTATAAGACCTATCACATCAGAGACCTACAGGCCAGACTTTTCTGTATATGGTTTAGGTGGCAGTCTGGAATTCCTGAATGCCACCTTCCACAGATATGATGCATTCTATTGCACCAGCCGTAATGTCATTTACACAAACATCTGCAAAAGATGTGGCATGAAATACATTTGTGAAATAGGGCTATAACAGCTGGCAGGGTCTTGCAACATCCTTCTGATGTGTGGAACGTGCCTTCAAACATGTACGGTTGGACTTGCAACATCCTTCTGATGTGTAGAACGTGTCTTCAAACATGTACCGTTGGACTTGCAACATCCTTCTGATGTGTGGAACGTGCCTTCAAAAATGTACCGTTGGACTTGCAACATCCTTCTGATGTGTGGAACGTGTCTTCAAACATGTACCGTTGGACTTGCAACATCCTTCTGATGTGTGGAACGTGCCTTCAAACATGTACCGTTGGACTTGCAACATCCTTCTGATGTGTGGAACGTGCCTTCAAACATGTACCGTTGGACTTGACCTCGCCAAGGTGCCCTGTATATGGCGGCTATGGCCATCAAATATATCCATTCCAGTGACACAGTCCATAAGTCTTTTGAAAACCACCTTATCTATCTCATGGGCCCCAATTCACCTTAGCGGACTCAACATCTTACTCAGATGCCACAGTCACACATTTGTTAATTACTCAGATGCCCCACTTACACATTTGCTAATTATCCAGATGCCCCACTTATACATTTGTTAATTACTCAGATGCTTCAGTCACACATTTGTTAATTACTCAGATGCCCCACTCAGATGCACATTTACTAATTACTCAGATGCCCCACTCAGACATACATTTACTAATTACTCAGATGCCTCACTCAGACACACATTTACTAATTACTCAGATGCCTCACTCAGACACACATTTACTAATTACTCAGATGCCCCACTCAGATGCACATTTACTAATTACTCAGATGCCCCACTCAGACACACATTTACTAATTACTCAGATGCCCCACTCAGACGCACATTTACTAATTACTCAGATGCCCCACTCAGACGCACATTTACTACTTACTCTGACATCTCCTAATATCACCGACATGTCTCCCTGTCGCCTTCTCTCTGCCAGGTCTTGCAAACGTCGTATTTCCTCTCTCCTAGCACTGCTCAACTGGTAGGCCTCTCTCCGAGACAAAGGTTTCACTGATTTCATTGTTTTCAAGTCTGGAAGACTGCCACGCTTATCCACTCCACTACCACCTGGCAATTTGTGATCATCCACAAATTTATATTCCGTAGGAAACTGACCGTGTTCTTTCCCGGACTGCAAATGAACCTCAGCCTGAATCCTTTTACGTATGCCGTTCTCAATGAGGAAAGTTTCCGGCACTTTAGTTGTCAGGTTGTCACTGCTGTGTGCCGTTTCATGCTCCACCAAGAGCTGCTTGGCAGTGGGCAGGTGTGTCTCTTTGGTGCTGTCAGAGGTATCAAGGATGCAAGGCATGGTTCGCCTGCGTTGCAGGGAGCGCATTTTACTGGAGTCATCGTCCATGCTTTCTGAAACACCCGAGTCAGGTGATGGGTTGGCAGGAGGCTGTCTTGCGAAGGGGTTGTGGTTGGTGTTGCTATGGGGATTGCTGCTACTGTTGGTGAGAGAATTAACATTTGTTCCTAGTCCATCACATCCTGCGTTGTTTTCATTGGCTGTGTACTGATCAAAGTGGTCGTTTAAAATAGTTGAGTCGAAAACTTCGCTAAATCCTCTTCCCCTTCGTGAACCCGCCAAAAAGCTGTAGCGACGAACTTTGAGTGAGGGACTCCGTGAGTGCTGGTTGACATTTAAAGCCTGCATCTGGTCAGTACCAGGACCACCTGGTCCATCGGTCATCACGTTGAGAAGTTGATTATGGCTGTAGTCATTGGCCATGCGGTTGTGGCCATCACCTTGAAGAGCAGCCAATGATGAAGCTGCGTTAGAGTCGGGTCCCTCATGGTTGTACCGGCTGTTCGTGTTGAGAGATTTAGATCTATAAGGCTGATGATTGGCCAAGCCTGTCACGTGACTGAAGTCATAATTCATCTCATTGTTTTCTATCTGTTTCCTGAGGATGTCTGTGCCTGAAAGGATTAAAAAAAAAAGGTTCAGACAATCATCAGCAATCAACTGTGTGGACACCCCTGTCCACTGTTTGGACACCACTGTCCACTGTTTGGACACCACTGTCCCCTGTTTGGACACCACTGTTCAGGTACACTTTCAAAATTAGGAGAAAAAAAAGAGTTTTTGTAGCATGTCAGATTCTGGTACTTTATGTTATCAAAGGCCAGGTCTATTTGTTACCACTGACCAGATCTATTTGTCATCATTGACTAGATTTTTATGTCACCACTGACCAGATCTATCTGTCACCACTGACCAGATCTATATGTCACCACTGACCAGACCTATATTCACCACTGACCAGACATATATGTCACCACAGACCAGACCTATGTGTCACCACTGACCAGACATATATGTCACCACAGACCAGACCTATTTGTCACCACTGACAAGACCTATATGTCACCACTGACCAGACCTATATGTCACCACTGACCAGATTTATATGTCACCACTGACCAGACCTATATGTCACCACAGAGCAGACCTTTATGTCACCACAGACTAGACCTATATGTCACCACATACCAGATTTATATCTCACCACAGACCAGACCTATATGTCACCACAAAACAGACCTATATGTCACCACAGAACAGACCTATATGTCACCACTGACCAGACCTATATGTCACCACTGACCAGACCTATATGTCTCCACTGACCAGAAATATATGTCACCAAAGATCAGACCTATATGTCACCAGAGACCAGACCTAGATGTCACCACTGACCAGACCTATTTGTCACCACAGACCAGACCTATTTGTCACCACAGACCAGACCTATATGTAACCACTGACCAGACCTATTTGTAACCACAGATCAGAACTATATGTCACAACTGACCGGATCTGTATGTCGCCACTGACCGGATCTATATATCCTCACTGAGTAGATCTAAATGTCATCATCGCTGACTGGATCTATGTGTCATCAGCACTGACTAGATCTATTTGTCACCACAGATCAGATATATATGTCATCACTGACTAGATCTATATGTCATCTTTAATGACTGGATCTATATGTCATCAGCACTCACTGGATCTATATGTCATCATCACCGACTGGATCTATATGTCATTATCACTGACTGGATCTATATGTCATCATCACCGACTGGATCTATATGTCATTATCACTGACTAGAACCTTACGTCATCACTGACTAGATCTTTAAGTCAGCACAGACTAGATCTATATGTCACCACTGAATAGATCTTTATGTCACCATTAAACAGATTTAGATGTTATCATTGGCCAGGTGTAGATGTTATCATTGGCCAGGTGTAGATGTTATCATTGGCCAGGTGTAGATGTTATCATTGGCCAGGTGTAGATGTTATCATTGGCCAGGTGTAGATGTTATCATTGGCCAGGTGTATCGTAGACCTGAACCCATATACATACACACATTCTCGCGAACACAAGCGTGACTATGTGCTTGCAAGTGCGAACCCATAGATCCTGGATGGGTGAATGGAGTGTCAGGAAGTAAACTGTCAGGAGAATACTCGACTGGTAGACTGATTCTCGTAGCTCAGTAAACAGGAAACTGCAGTCGACTCTCTTCGCCTGAATATGGAGAAGTTCGGCAACTGACGGGGAAGGAGATCTGTGAACTCTTCCTCTAGAGACAACAGCCGGTGTCATAGTAGTACCAGTGAGACTCAGTACAAAGGGAACTGTAACAGGCTGGAAAACTACTGTTTAGCAGCTCAACGATTTTATTTAATCTGGTTTAAAAATGACAAAAGAGAAGATAGGAACAGCTATTAGCTTTAGAAAGTAAAATCTGGAAAAGTCTGGCCACTGGGTATTTAAAAGGGCCGACTGACAGATTTTAGGTCTCATTCTATTTGGCTGTCGGCTCGCTATGGTCAGGCACAATGTTTGTCGTTGTTGACTGCACTTGGTCTCAGTGCACATGTGTGTCGGATCGGACCGGCTGAGATTGGCTAGATTGGCTCGTGATCACGGTACTTTCAATTGGCTAGGTAATGTTAGATTTGATTTCCATTGTGCATCTTTGCTAGGAGATAGTTTGATGGCAGGTCGCTATAAGTGATTTGTTGGCATATTGAAGCTGAACGTACATGTTAAATACGTTTCGGTTTTTGCCATGGTTGAGGTAATCTTGTGAGCGTATGTTGTCATAATATGTCATTGTTAGCTGGAGATGATGATCGCTTTAGACTCTGGTCGAGCACGTTTGTTGTTGTTAATGTCGTTATTTGTGGGCCACGCTGATGTTATGTTAAGTAAAATAAATAGGTGTTCAATGCTGTAATCATAGTTCCAGTTGTTTTTCGTTCAGATTAGGACTTGTAGTTAGTGTGCCTAGTTTAGTTCATTTGTTGCTTGGCTGATCTAGACTTTACACAGAAGATTTCTTGTCAGGGTGAGATACTTTTGATCTCTACCCCGCCTAAACAAACTTTTTCTTTGTTTTCTTGTCACTGAGGCAGCTTATGGTTAGGTTTGGCTCCCACTCGCCACGTGGCATTGTTTAGAGCTCTTGTAGGTTCGGAGTCGAGGAGATTTCAAGGAGTAGATTTCCATATTATCCTTTATAGTTATTTCTTCTCTCTTTCTACCATTACGAGATACCCCCCTTTGCTTCTAGTACAGAACCATTACAGCAACACAAGGGCAGATAATGCCCACATATAATGGTAGATAAGGCCCACATATAATGGCAGATAATTCCCACACATAACATATGGTCAAATGCAGCAACTTTTGCCTTTGATACCTTCAAAGGTTTCTAGAACAAACAGGAAACGGTGACAGCAGCACTCGATTTAGAAGACGCTTACAACAGTCAGATACAGTATCTTGATGAAAGCGCTTAAGGAAAAGGGAGTCTGTCCTTGGTTGGTGAAATGGATAGCAGCCGTTTTGTGTACTCGCCGGGTAGCTCTTCGCCTGGGTTCATGGACCTCTGATCCATGTATTATAGCTCAAGTACTACCACGGGGATCTGCAATTTCGCTTGTACTATTCAATGTTTTTACGAGCAAGATTGTCTACCTGGAAACACCTGGAGTTGGCAGAATTTTGACATTTGCAGATGATGAAAAATCGGAATAAAAAAACTGAAGAGTTACAGGCAACAGTAGATAAGGTGATCGACTGGTGTACAGAGACGAGTGCTGTAATCAACTCAGAAAAGGCAACCGTCCTGTGGTGTTCTTCGGACAACAGGATTGCTAGAGCTGTTGTTCCCAGACTCAAAATAAATGGCAGGGCCATCAAAAGAGACAGCAGACTGCGGTACCTGGGAATCCCCTGTAACAGAAGTTTGTCTTTCATAGATCACATAGATGGGGTTGTGACAAGAGCTCAAAACGGTCTAAATGCACTAAAGATTATGACAGCGATGGACATGGAGCAGAGAAAGCTGGTCACACTTTACCAGCACTTAATCATCTCAGTAATTGATTATGGATCGGGTCTACTGACTGTCTCGAAGAGTCAGCTAGAGAAACTGGAGCGCATACAGAATGAAGCTATGAGGCTGATCCTGGGTTGTACAAGAGACACCCCGATTGTGTGCATGCGATACATCCTTGCATTGCCGACTATTGCAGATAGGCTTAAGGTGCTGCAGGCTACGTCATTTCTCAGAGTAGCTGCAGACAGGGAACACTGTCTGAATGAAGCTTTGGCTGCAGGCAAGGGCCAGAGGATTAAAAAAAAAAAAAGGGGGGGGGGGGATCGTTAATTGCTCAAGCAAAAGTCACAAGACAAGCAAGTGAGATGGAGAACTTTGGGCGAGGAGAGGAGTGGGTCAGAGTAACAGAAGAAAAGTCCGACCTGTGTAGGGTTATGATCATATTGGGCCGGGTGTACAGGGAGTGGCCAGCGGGTGCTAGGGAGGTTGAAGTCCAACAGTTGATTCACGACAATTCACGCCCAGGTGATCTGATTATATTATCTATACAGATGGATCGGTGCTGAGAGGAAAGAGAAGTGCCTGGGGGTTCGTAGCGAAAGCCAATGGAAAATCTTTAGTGCAAGACAGCCTAGCATACGACACGACAACGTCTAGCATGAGAATGGAGGTGGAGGCGGTAACTGCAGCTCTCTGGTGGCTAGAGAATAAGATGCATACACATGTCGTTATTGTAACAGACGCTGAAAGCATGCTGAAAAAGGTGAAGACAGGGATGCTTCGAGCAGAGTGGCAAGCTTCACTGGAAAGGTCACGGGTGGTGAGCATACTTTGGATCTTTTCTCCAGGCCATGCCGGCGTGGTGGTTAATGAACAGGCAGACAGATTGGCTGGATCTGCACCACTGAGTGGTGAATTGATACATGACAAGGCGCTTTGGGAACAAGAACGGAATCAGTAGAGAAAGAAGATTACTATGGCCTGGAGAGAATGAGGCACCTGGGTGTAACCAAAGGGTCTGGCCGGGTCACTACACTCAGAGGAAAGGCAAGACGGACTTTTAACTAGATTGTTACCGGTATCATCAGTATTGGAACTTTGCGCTGGCTGCTAAAGATGAGGACGGAGTATGAATGAGAATGCCCCGAGTGCTGTGATATCAATTCTTGACTCAACTAAACTAAACTTAACTGCCACACATAACAGCAGATAATGCCCACCCACAATGGCAGATTATGCCCACACATAATGGCAGACAACGCTCACATAATGGCAGATGATGCCAACACACAATGGCAGATTATGCCCACACATAATGGCAGACAACGCTCACACAATGGCAGATGATGCCAACACACAATGGCAGATTACACCCACAAATAATGGCTGATGATACCCACACATAATGGCAGGTGATGCCCACACATAATGGCAGATGATGCCCACACATAATGGCTGATGATGCCCACACATAATAGCAGATGATACCCACACATAATGGCTGATGATACCCACAGATAATGGCAGATGATGCCCACACATAATGGCAGATG